AGAGGGACCACAGCGTAGCCCTGTTGAGTCGGAGATGCCGGCCAGGGCATCTGATGGCTGTCCCACTGCCTGCCACCTGCACAGCCCCAAAGCTGTCAGACCGCATCCCCCAGACAGCTGCTTGGGAGCATTCCTGCTGAAAGGCTAAAATATCAGCTCTGCATGATGCTTGCTGGGATTAAAAAAAAAATAATAAAAATATTTTGCTTCTCATAACAGGGAAAATATCTCAGATACACATATCATTCATGAAACAAGACTCTCAAAATAACAATGACTTTGTTTCTGAATAGGAATCGTCTGACTGCTAAGCTCTACTTTCCAGTCCTTTCTTCTGAAACTAGTTTCACTTACCCTTGTATTTCCTGCTCTGACGCATCTCCTGTGCTTTGTGTAAATACTGCCTTGTCCCATGGCTGCACTGGGCCTTTAGTCCAGAGGGAGACTAATCGAGGGCATCCCTTAACGAGGCAAGTGGCCTTCTTCCCTAAAGGACTGAAATAAAAGAAGCATAGCGTCACATTTTCATTTCTCCTGTTGGTCCCATTACCTGGTGTCTGAGTACTTGGAAAGCTTGTCAGAAGGCCTTTCGGACATGCTCAGTTTATAGGAAACAGCACCTTCAAAACTGGGTATGGCTTTTTATCCTCAGCTGAGGAGTACGGTCATGTATGGCATCTCTTTTCAGCAGCCCAGGAGGGAAAGCAAAATTCTGGCACCATTTTCCAAGCAGTCTTCTAAGAAGAGAAGCAGAAGAGCTCTGTGGGGTGTTTCTCAGAAACTTCCCACCCCTCCAGGGAAGCTGGAGCCATTTAGAGGATCTGTAGATTGCCAAGGACTCGTTTGCGTTTGCCCTGTCTATGTGCCACTTCTCAGAACCTGTTTCCATTTATGTCTCGTTTCTTGGTGCTTTGGTCTTAAACCAGTCTGCCTTGAGCCTTGAAAACCCTCAGCTCTTTGCTCTGGGTAAGTCAGACTGAGGGTGGTTCTGGCTTTTCCTTAGTTTTTATCATCATTTATTTTCTGCTCCCAAGGGCACGTCTACATGCTCCAGTTCATCCTGACTGTGAACTCCTGAGGAGAAGGTTCAGGTTCATTTTCAGCAAAGTTACCCAATGGATGACTTTCTGTCAGCAACTGCCAGCAAAGTTTATTGGAGCAGAGAATTTAAAAAAAAATCCCAGAAGAGATTAAAATAAGCAACATGTTTTGCTTTTAAAATTTCTAGGGCCAGATCTTGAAGTGGTGTAAATTAGCATAAGTTTTCTGATGTTATAACCCCTACAAATCTCAGTGAAAGTCAAAATTGGACATGATTTTATTTAAGGTTTGGTTACTTTTCAAGGCTAAAACTCAAGCTTCTGAGGGTGGGCATGGTTCCTTTTCATTCTGTATTTGGGCAGCTTCCACCTGTTTGCAGGAATTTGTTTCTCTCTTTGATTTGTTTTTTCTGCTGCGATATATCGTCTGTGTTATTTCACAACCCCCCCCCTCATTCATTTCTCTCTCTTTACTCTCTATTGTCCAACCTTTTCAGCTCTCTTTTCTCTCTTCCCCCTCCTGCCTTTCCTCTTCCTTGGTAGTTCCTTTTCCTTCCCCCTTATCTCAGCAATTGCTGCCAACAGCTATATTTGGAATAGAGTGGGAACAAGCTATTCTTGTGACTTTACTTTGAAATAACTGAGAGGAGCAGATGATTTTCTTTGAACAAATAGAGGATACACTGAGGAGAAGGCAGGCTAGTAAAGTCAAAATGACATTGTTAGGGAATACCTGCCCAGCAGGTTCATCTTTCCCAACTCTCAGGATAACTTAACCAGCTATTAGTTCTTGTTTGCTCTGTTTAAGCTTCACATCCTCCTTTTGTGCAAAATTCCTCTCTCCAGTTTAGTTACCCGAGGTCCTAACAAGGCCTAGCTCATCACCACAATGTCTGGGCACTCACACGTCAAGGGGAACGACTGCCACCTAAAATTTCAGATGCCAGAATTAGCTGAAACAGGATATATACTTAACACTTTAACTCAATGCCGTTGTATCTTCTGATGTAGTCATGGGATACTGTAATAGAGTCCCACTTGTCTGGGCTAGCACAGAAATATGCTGTGAGGAACAACTTCCTATCGAGCAACACAATTTCTCCATGTCCTGTCACATTAACTCCTTCTCATCACCACCTGTTCCTCATCACCCCAACCATTTATACTGCTGGAAGCAATACATTAACAAAGCCAGCGAGAAACAGAGCTACACGAAAAGGACAGCACAGAATGCTTTTCTCCCTATCCCCCATATTTCTGTGTTTATACGATTAACTCCCACATTGGCCAACCAAACAAGAAATGAGGCCAAATGAGAAACTGAGCATCACAGCTTAGCGTTTTGTGCCTGTGCCAGAAGAAGACCCAAGTCTATTTGTCTGCTCCCAAGTGAAGCCAGTTCTATTAAAACCATACTGTTGTACATGTGTTTGTGTGTGAAACTGCTTCACACAGGGAAAGATACATGAAATTACATGCAGAAAGATGCAGGGACAAGATCTTTCCTTAAAAGCTAAATATTCAAAGGAGGAATGACTGCTAAACATTAGACATGAACCTAGAAGGAAAAGATTCTTCCATCCACCAATGATTTCCTGGGATTTTATGAACCAAATGACACAAATGGTCATGCTGACATGGGGCTTCCACAGTTATTTCTGCAATAATTGTTAATAGGTTCAGTTTGCCAACAGAATATACACCAATACCAGTATCTTAGGGGGCAAGGCTGACGGAGTTCTAATGGTTTTCTATCAAACCATCTAATAGAAAATCATATCATTCTTCAAGCAAAGTCTCTTTTCCATGTCCACAGTACTACTACTGCCACCACACTGCAGATCTCAAATGTGCCATATCAAACAGAGGCTAAGCAAAGGGAAAAAGGAATGATCCAGGCTAGGAAGTGACATCTACTTTCAGCATTACCACTAATCCCCAGTGGAGACTACCAAGCATCTCTTTGGGCTTCTGCCCCTTAAAACTATGCTGCAGATATAACAATATAATAACATTTCACACTGAATTAAATGCAAATGCAACGGCTAAGTGTATTTCATCGGTATTTGCTATTTTGTGCTGCTGTAGAAAGCAAATATGTTTTATTTATGTGTTCCCAACTTCAGGTCAACAGACAAATGAACTTTGATGTATCTGAGGAGCACTGCTAAACCCATGGTGAACTCGGAAAGGATTTAGCCCTCCCCTCATCCCCTGTTCCATCCTCACCATGCTGGCAACTTGCAGCTTTCCTCTCAGCCTCCTCGACTCCATGTGCTCAGTACCGTGAATAACACAACTGCAAAGAGCATTTGAAAATAGTATTCAGATTCAAGGCTCCCAGGGCATTACACAGGGCACAGATCACAGAATCTTCATGGTTAGAAGGGACCTTTGAGATCATCGAGTACAACCACACATCGAGGATCTGGGCCAACCTGCTGAAGAGGGAACTAGCCTACAGCTGTATGGCCACAAGCAAGTCAGCACTCACTGGCCCAGGGACAAGAAACCGCTTCACAGGCTCTCAGGAGTGCTGTGTGCCTTTGCTTTTTATTATTAGGCAGATGCAGAGATAACTAAGGATTAGCCGCATCTAAGCCATAACTAAACCACACCGAGATTTGGAAAGTAGGCTTTCCCCAACCTCCTTGACTGGACCAGCTGAGAAGATGAGCATTTTCTGATGCTCATCTACTTTCTGGTGCTTTCTACCACCACCCGGAATGGAGAGAATTCTTATACCCAGAGTTAAGAGTCCTTGCCCATGGTGTGTGATGTGCTGGATTCAGCCCTCTTTTCTGCCTAAATGCAGCTGAACCCATTTCTTCCCCCTTGTAGGATGGTGCCCAAACCCGTATTTTAGAGTCACTCTGGAGCTTGGTTGTACCTTTTTGACACAGATTTTGAGCTTCACGTGAAGTGGGCCAGCTGAACTGGCTCTGCAGTGGAGGTCAGGGTACCTGCTTGGAGAAGAGCCTAGATCCAGTTGGAAGACACAGCTGCTGTCCCAATGTCCACACCCTAGCTTCCAGCAGATCATGAGGAGCTGACAGGCTGTGCATCTGGAGGAGAGTTAATGAGAAAACTTTAAGTATCAATTTGCAGTTACAACCACAACCTACAAGTGCTTTCCAGGCATCCAAGGAGGGACAATCACTGTTGCCACAACCCACAAAGGGCACGCGAAGAAAAGGTGCGAAGAAAGAGCAGCACCAAACAGGTGATGTTTTTCACTTTTATCCACAAGAGATAGCAAAGAACAGGAAGTATTCACTCTGTGAGGTACCACAGACCGGCCTTAAAGCTGGGCTGAATAATCATCAAGAGCATTTGAAAATAGTATTCAGATTCAAGGCTCCCAGGGCATTACACAGGGCACAGATCACAGAATCTTCATGGTTAGAAGGGACCTTTGAGATCATCGAGTACAACCACACATCGAGGATCTGGGCCAACCTGCTGAAGAGGGAACTAGCCTACAGCTGTATGGCCACAAGCAAGTCAGCACTCACTGGCCCAGGGACAAGAAACCGCTTCACAGGCTCTCAGGAGTGCTGTGTGCCTTTGCTTTTTATTATTAGGCAGATGCAGAGATAACTAAGGATTAGCCGCATCTAAGCCATAACTAAACCACACCGAGATTTGGAAAGTAGGCTTTCCCCAACCTCCTTGACTGGACCAGCTGAGAAGATGAGCATTTTCTGATGCTCATCTACTTTCTGGTGCTTTCTACCACCACCCGGAATGGAGAGAATTCTTATACCCAGAGTTAAGAGTCCTTGCCCATGGTGTGTGATGTGCTGGATTCAGCCCTCTTTTCTGCCTAAATGCAGCTGAACCCATTTCTTCCCCCTTGTAGGATGGTGCCCAAACCCGTATTTTAGAGTCACTCTGGAGCTTGGTTGTACCTTTTTGACACAGATTTTGAGCTTCACGTGAAGTGGGCCAGCTGAACTGGCTCTGCAGTGGAGGTCAGGGTACCTGCTTGGAGAAGAGCCTAGATCCAGTTGGAAGACACAGCTGCTGTCCCAATGTCCACACCCTAGCTTCCAGCAGATCATGAGGAGCTGACAGGCTGTGCATCTGGAGGAGAGTTAATGAGAAAACTTTAAGTATCAATTTGCAGTTACAACCACAACCTACAAGTGCTTTCCAGGCATCCAAGGAGGGACAATCACTGTTGCCACAACCCACAAAGGGCACGCGAAGAAAAGGTGCGAAGAAAGAGCAGCACCAAACAGGTGATGTTTTTCACTTTTATCCACAAGAGATAGCAAAGAACAGGAAGTATTCACTCTGTGAGGTACCACAGACCGGCCTTAAAGCTGGGCTGAATAATCATCGTGTCATAAACCCTGTCCTGTGATTCGGGACAGCACTTGTGCTGGAGTACACTAAAAACAGCAGGTCTGCAGCATGCCCAGAGAGGCTGACCAGGGCTGCCACAGACTTTGCAGGCTTTCTGATAAGCACACTTATTGTAACACGATTTAAAGTTGACAACGTGTCTAAAAACACACACAATGTCAGAGAAGGAATGAAATGTTGCTTCCCTCTCTCCCCCCCAACCTCATTACAGGCTAAGGAAAAATAATGTATGGAGAATAATACTTCACCATCTAAAGAGTTTTTCTGGTTTCTAAATCTAGTGAAGAGTCATTGTATATTTTGACAGAAAAATGAATCAAAATAATAAAGTGAATACAAAATTATATTGCTGTCAATAATTTAATTTACACAAAATAGCACTGTGACATGGTAATTGTTATATATGATGCAGCATTCAGTATAATATTTGGAGAATGCATTATAGAAAGTCAACATTTAACTACTAAAATCAACTTACATAATCAAAGCTGTCAGGGAATCTTTACAGTTTTATATTAATTTGAATGTAATTTACTATAGAGGTGTCATTCTTAGAGGTGCTTACAATAGTTAATGATCTCTGCATTTCCATTATAAAATCCTATTTTCAAAGGTTTATAACTTGGTCTTAAGAACTCTCAGCCCTCCGGCACATTTTCCTTTTCCTTACAAAAACTATGTTAGACATTTTAAACTTTTCTCTCAGAGCAGAAAGTGTGGTTACTTTCAAAATTCATTTTGAGGATTTGCTAATTTGCTGCTTGCTACCCAGAGATCTCAGAAAAAGAGAGGTTCTTCACAGTAGAAAACATTGCAGTTACATTCTCTCCTTCCACTTTCTTGAGTATTTTACCCCTCACACCATTTTTCTTCCTGAAGCGTGTAAGCATCTTCCAATATTGCATCTGAATCTTCTCTGCATTGTTTCTTCTCTCCTTCCTACATTGCTGCAATCAAGCTTTCTTTCAGGTCCTCTTCTCCATCACAGACTTCGACTCCTAGCTCTTGCAGATGTCCACACTTACCTTGGCAGTTGCAATTTCCACCACATCCATCAGTTATGAGCTCTTTTTTCCCCTACAGACTTTCTCCATCACAGACTTCGACTCCTAGCTCTTGCAGATGTCCACACTTACCTTGGCAGTTGCAATTTCCACCACATCCATCAGTTATGAGCTCTTTTTTCCCCTTTTTTTCAAGCTGCAGCTTTAATTCATTTTTCTAACTCATTAGAAGGCCAACAATTAGTTTTGCTCTAGCAAGTACATTACTCTTCCTGATCTGACAGGTTTGATTCATATCAAACAGTACCCATTGACCCACCTAGACCTGCTCTGTTGGTTATTTGGTGATTTTCAGTTTACCAGCCACAGGAACTACACAGCCCTGGGGCACTAAGTCTGTTTCCCCCTGCCCAGGAGGTAGGACACTGCAAACCAATTGTCCACAAACACACTGTTACAGGTCATTTCCAAAACCAGAACTTGAAAAGCAACTTGTCAGCACAAAGCTATTATCCATAATAATAGCAAAACAAATAATTACCTTGTCCGCTTCAATAGACCTGCTCCAGTTCATGGGTCTAGTTTTCCCAAATCCTGCTCAGATTCACCTTTTTCATCCATGTCAGTTAACGGTCATTTTGAAGCCCCTAGCCCCCAGCTTTCTGTAACTTCAGTGTTACTAGGCCAGACATGTTTGACCCAACATGCACAAGAAAATCTAGATCGTCACTAACATGCAAACATCTAGGCTTACACAGAAGTAGCTTTGTCACTTGTTCAGGATCACTTTATTTTCCGTGCGAGGAGAAGAGCTTTTTAAAGTATTTGTGATGCTCTATTCTAGCTGTTCTGTCTTTATATGGCCCTGGACACTGGGCACTGGACAAAATTAGCCAGTGCCCACACTTAGCCAAAACACTTCCTTCCCTTTTTCTATAATTGCCATTTTTCTTGTTTGAAAAAAAATGAATGCGTTACTTTCTAATAATTCAATGATGTCACAAATAAGATGGGAATCTCCTTTCCCTTATGCATATGTAGCACAGATCTGTAATTTTGGACAAAAAAAAGTATCTGTTGCTTACATATCACATTACTGGAGCTGGAAAGAAAAACTATTTCCCATGTCTTGGTGGTGGACTTGATTCAAGAAAAATGTAGTCCTAGTTAGCCTGGATAGAACTGGTGACTGACTCAGCGAGATGGCTTAACTCTGTAACTAGGGCAGATAACAATGAGAAAGACAACACTGGGTGTATTCTGTTTGATCCTTCAGATTCATAATTTAGTGCTACAAAGGAACTCTAGAAATCCCTTTTTTTTCCCCAGTGGATATTCGGCTGCACACAAGCAGGATGTATGTCTGGGTAAATTATATTCTATAGAAGCATTTGACACACTTCAGATCTTTATTCTGGTTTCGGAAAAAAATACTAGAAGACTGGCTGTAGCAAGGACTACTGGCTGAAAGCTTCTGGATGTTACTTCATCATTTTGTGCATTGAGAAAACAGAACTAGAAGATGAAACTTTAAAATTGTCAGAGAAGTCAGTGACTGTATGCATCTCTTCTCCTGCAGAGCAAATGGGACCTGCCCGGCACAGGACCTTAGAGGATGTTCTTCCAGACTGGATGACAATTGTTGCTTTTTCACTGTCCCTCACAGAAAAATCTACCAGACCGGTTTATCCCCATTCAATATTTTTACTCCTTGAATCTCAATGAAGAGGTTTTCCTCTGATGTAGGTAGTGCTGCCCTCTCTCCCGAGGTTGACGCCCACTTCATTCAAGTATTCCTAGTGCAGCAGGGATGTTAGTGGCTACTGGCTTGCAGCCAACATCCCACACATTTCCTCCACAGCAAAAAAGCCTTAATTCTGACCCACTGCCTTTCAAGTAGATAGTGAAAAAAAAAATGTCACAAAGAGCTTTGCTTTTATCTGTATTTCTCCTTCAGAAAGATCTGAAAAAAACATCAGACATTGTCTTTTTTTTTTTTTTTTTTTTTTTTTTTTTTTTCAAGCCCCACGGACTGTCTGTGAAAAGCTATCGCTCTCTTAAATTCAGGTTATTTTTTGTAAGGAGAGAGATACTGGGAGTTCAGTAGTTATATTTTGCAATGTCAGATAAAAGAAAATAAGTTAAATACCTGACAGTACAAAGTAATTTCTTTTTGTAAGAAATCTAAACTGGATCAAAGCTGTGTTCAGTACTACAGCTTGTTTACAGTGAGCAATTTATCTTCTTCCATTAAAGTGGGCTAACTTCAATAGTTTTTTCTTTTTCAAGGTCCACGGTCAGTAAGGTTGAGGTTTGGTGCTGCTGTTAGAGCCTGAGCCCAAAAAGAAGCTGAAGACATTCAGACGGTGGTGCTTACAGATTTGGGTAAAGGGAGTCTGCAAGCAAAGTCACTGTGGAGGGGTGGACCACATTGCCTGCCATTGTGTCAGAGCACGCACCCAGTGCGTCTCCTTCTCAGCAGCACTTCTGCACACCATTCCTCCTGAATCAGTTCAGCCACCTTCTACTGCAGGAGCCTGCGTTTTTCAGGCAGGGCACTGATAAAAGATCAGAAGGGATGGTAACTTTTGGCTCCCAGCTGAAATTTTCCATCCTCAAGTTATGAAGAACACTGCTGATGTTACCTGATAACTGCGGGGCAGTATGTTCCAAGCCCTGCATGTGAATGGGCAAGAAGAAAATGTACACGCTTACAAACTGGGCACGTTACGGGTCTGGCACAGCCACCACTAATGAATTTGGGTTGTTGACAAACTAAGAAACACATACATATTCACAAAAAGCCAAACACATACACGGTTTCAAGACCACTGCATGGAAAAAAGGGTGTAGTGGAACAAAAGCTGTCCATTTCACAACTCCATTGCACAGAACCCTAAGGGAAGACAGTACCTACAAACAGGTCTTCTATTTGTTAATCTAGGCAAGCAGAGGTGAGGACAGGCACAGTGGTGTTCACAGGGGAATGTGGAGCCCAGGATTACAATGTGATATACTAGGAGGGTTAGAATCAGAAGCCAGTGAGAAGAAAAGGGTTGACAAACAATTTAGTTGATTCCCAATGGTGCTGTTAGAATGAAGGAAAGATAAACTGCCCCTGGCGTTAACAATTTATGTAGTCAGAAATATTAGAGGTAACAGGTTAAGAAATAAATATAAATCAAAAAAATATAGGGAAAGAAAACCCCAAAGACAATAACCATCTGGGAAAAATCACCAAGTGCAAAGTAGATGGCAAAATCTTGTGATACAGGTAGAAAGATAACCTACTTCATTCAGCAAAACAAGAAAGTCTGGATGACTTGAAATAAGAAAGATAATGAAAATGGAAAGAAAGGAATTAATTAAAGAAAACATTACACTGACCTTGCATAAATAAAGTTTCAAAGATTGCACACATGCTAATCTGAGAAGCAGAATGGCTAGAAGTTCCTAGAAGAAATTTCACTCCTTGATATCAAGGATAAAGGTAGAATCTGAATGGAGATTAGAGGTATTTGGTACTGTTCCAGCTGATTATGATCTTGGAAAAATTACATGGAAACCTGTGTTGCAATATACTGAATTTAAGGAGAATTGCAGAATGTACAGATGAACTCAAGGAACAAAACTAAAATAGTAAGAAGAACATAGGTTAAAGTAGAAGCTGCAGAAAACTGACAGCAGGAATGATTTCAGAAAAAAAGAGGATAGGTAAATTGGATAAAACAGAGGAAAAGGCTGGCACCCATCATCACCATGACACTTGCATTACATCTCACTTCCAAGTGCAGAGTCCAATTTGGGAGAAGGCAAGAAGCAGAATATTCTCTTTATAGGGAGAAAAAAAAGGCTTCTTTCTTTCGCAAGTTCCTGTGTCAGTAGCCATTTTATGGGGCTGCCAATCATGGCAAATCAACTGAAAAGCCAGATCATTTTCTAAAGCATCTACCTTCCTAGAGAAAGATTTTAAAGTTGACTGTGTACAATCCAGCTGCTGCTTTTAATCTTTCCCTGACAACAGTAGTTGTTTTATTACTTTGACAGTCATTTTTAGCCTATGAATAGTACCACAGTCCTTGTAAGATAGGAAAAATCTTTTGATCTACAATTTCATAAGGTTTAGCAATGGACAAAGGATTTTTCCGGTATACTTGATCACACACTTGCTGAAGTTTAGGCTTAGAGCCAATAAAGAGGCACTGAGCTACTCATTTTGAGAAACACAAAAATCCTTTTTTATGAATAATGACTGCCAGAAAAAAATTAATTTATTATAAAAATACTACCTATTAATAGAAAATTACGAACAAGATTACTCCTGAAATAACTTTGATACACTGCCAAAATCACTTTTAACTTTCCCACTGTTTCATATGGTATGATCTAGAGGATAGAAAATATGGATGCAAGATAAGCATTGTATATAAACACACAAAAAAAAGAAAGGCATTTCAAGCTGACTGTAATAACTTAGAAAATGGGAGAAGACTCAGGCAGACATGGAGCAGTTTTCCAGCGTAATGACTTGTTCTATTTGCTCTACAAATAAGAATTGTATATTTTGTGCACCCTGAAATACCGTATAAACTCTAATATAAAATATATTTCCAAACAAGAATAAAAAGCCCTTCACCAACTATTGAGTGAAAAAGTAATTGAAAATTATAAAATCTGTAATTTTTTAGTATAGGCTGCAGTACTTTGAGCACTTCCACATATGTTTAACTTCACACACACATGCATCCCATTTTCTTGTCCTATTCACGCTGGAACACATTCTATTTTTCCTTATGTATAAGGAATTAAAACACAAATCCTCTGTGATATTAAAGTGTAAAGACAAAGTTGCTAGGGCGACTATCAATTTAGCAACTGGTCAGCTGAGTATGTCTACCTATGGGAAACATTTAGGTAAGTAGCTAAATTGAAGTCTAACTTCTAAATTAAAAGGGCAGCAGAAGGTATGTATGTATGCATATGTACATACACTTATTTTAAAAAAATATTTATGTGTATATATTTTAGTAACTGAACTGATGAAACTGGACTGAATTTCCTTTGAAAACTGTAAGTCCATTGGGATTGCAAATTTCCATAAACAAATTCCTTTCTAAAAATCTACACCAAGCTCAAAATTTAAATGGAGTAAAAAGAAACAATTCTCTTTCTAGCTGGGTGCAGTTAGAAATCAGTCATCTTGATACTTAAATGAGTTTGATCAGAAGGTAATTAAAGGATGATTAAAGGAAGAACAGGAGTTCCTCCTCCACCCCCTGCACTGTTCAATTGTTCACATATCTGGGGTATTTCTTAAATAAATCTATTTCAGAAGGCAAAAAACATTGGATTTCATACCTTTTGCTAGACAGATTTTGTTTATAATATCTTGAAATTTCCACAGAATTCCCCAAAATCACATTTTCTGGCAAAGTACCAGCCTGACTCCTACAGTCTAACATTCACAACACAAATATTTTTCTTCAGTGTTTTCAGATAAACCACTGCCCTTTGGTTTCATTACAGTCTCTTGACAAAACATTGAGATGTTTCTAAGCAATTATTATAAAACCAGAAGTCCTCCACAAACAGTCAGAACTGACCTCAAGACATCAGTGTTGCAGTGCAAGCAGAGATCTTCACCTGTTTCTCCGTTTTTCCGGATCTCTAACTGAAAGACTTATCCTTGCCCTAAACAGTTATATTTTCAGCCCCACTGTTTTGGGTTAATGCATATCTCTGGGTTCTGCACATGCAAGATTTTTCTTTCCATTCTTTCCTCTGTATTAGGAAGTCTCAGAGGAAAGAATCTGGCCTCTGCTGTTTGTTAATTATGTTCCTACAGAACATCAACCTCCTGCATCAGACCCTCCTGGCCTTACGACCTGCCCAGTGTTTGCCCATTCAGCCCTGTTAACTGAGTTATCCTGCCCTTAGTGACTCTTGGACCTACCCTTTGAGACCTCAGTCCATTAAAGAGGGAAAGATGGACTTACTGCAGGAAACACAAACCCGTGTTTCTGTGTCCTCCCTGCCACATTTTGCAAAGTGCTTAATACAATACCTCGTGCAATAGAAATGAATGAATGTTTGAAAGCATAAGCAGATTTGTGCCCTGATAATCCATGCAAACTGCAGTTCACATAGGTGTCCTCTTCTCCGAGTACTGTAAATAACTAAAAAGAGGTCTGGCTCCAGAACTGGACTATTGAAGCCAGGAGCAATTGCACCCCACAAAATAAGCTGCAGCCGTTGCCTGTTCCCAGCACAGCAGTGCCTGGGGAGTTCCTGCTAACCCAGACCGACAGGGTACAGCTGACAAGCAGATCATTGCATGTACAAGGCATCAGCTCCACAAGGCCTGCAGGAACTTTGTGCAAGTGGGTCTGGTTCCCATTCTTTAGTGGGCGACCCCACCATTCTGCTGTCTGTAGTCATGTTTATTTGACTGACGATTTACGTCTGCAAAAGCATCAACTTCTCAACGAATTATTCATCAAGACTAGCTCCATGCTTTTTGGTTTCCAACACTGACCCAGGATACTTCATCTAATAAATTCAAAGTAGGTATGAATAAACAAATGTGGCATTATATTATGCTCATTAATTATGCACCAAGCTACACAGTGTTAGATGTACGCACAATACTGGGAACTTTCCTGAAAAAAGGAAAGATTATTATCTACAGGATCAAAAATCTCATTTCACTTTTAGCTTCACCTGTTTTGGGTGTTTTGGCTTAAAATGTACTAATAATTTCCAAGTTGTGATTAACTGATTTAGCATATAATATCTCTATATGATATTTCAACGTTCTATGAATTCTACCCAAGAACTAACAGACTAAAGTCTTTCTAGTGCAGTGTTCTATCTCTGTTCATTTGTAAAATACAGCTATTCCTCCATCATTTTGTGTGGGACCAGAGAAACTATACAGAGCTTTTTGCCTTGGACGTAACAGGGGAAGAAAGGAAAAAAAAAGGAAAGTCCCCTTCTCAATAAGGAATAAAGGGCCTGGTCTCTTGGCATCAATACACTCACTCAGATCATTTCTCATAGAAGGAGACAAATGTTGTCTTCTGGATTACAGTCCCAGTTGAAGCTTTTCTGCATATTGGAGCAAATCATGAAAATAAGGCCCTATTAGCAGATAAAGCTTTCCCGGGGACAGAATAGTGACTGGGAAATCATCTGATTTCTGGACAACTAGCATTTCAGCCGTCAGCCCCAAGATAAAAGGAAGAGAGACACCAAGAGACCTGGCACTAGGCTGTGCTCATAGGGGCCCTCCTCCCTGCACTTGCAGGACAGTATCAGTTTTCATTCAGTCTCAACACCCTTACAACCCCTCACCTTCCTCCTTGATGAGACAGTGGCTTCTGCAGCAATCACATTCACACACCTCCTTCTGGGGAGGAAGGATGCTTGTTTTCTACTGGATTCAGTTCCTTTGTCTGAAGTATCAGCCAATATTCAGCACTGCTGTATCAAGGGGTCTGTTGTAAAGTGCCGGTCTGTGTTCTCTCAGTTTCATGGTGATCTAAGAAAGAAATTATGCTGTTGTAAAAAAAGAGTTTAAACAGTCAAAGAAGGACTCCCATGGCAAACAACACTCTTGTACCTCATTATCTGTCACTCTCCCAGCAATCGGTTGTGGTCGGGGTGTTGCAGCATCATTCCAAAAACAGGCATGAGCACCATCAATTCTCTTTTCTTCCCATTCCCATCTTCTCCCTCAAACTGGAAACTGCTTTGTGTTACTGGAGACAAGGAAGCATCTTCCTCTGGTAAGAGATGCTGTTTATATAAGGAAAAGGATGAAAAATCAAAATTATGTCTGTAGCATTTGTATAGGTTTTATATATATATATACACACACGCAGAGCATTTGTAAGGATCTACCTGTTATCCATGATTCTTACATGTAAATAGGAGAACATTTGGTTTGAGGTTTGGGGTAGGTGGTTTCTCATACAAACATATGAGGCTGCATTACAACTACAAATGTTTCTTCTGACCACATAATTCTCTAATAGTATGAAAATATCCGTGCAAACCTTTTTCTGGTGATGTTAACATATCAGTGTTGCTAAATCCAACAGACTGAAGTAGTATCACCTTTGTTAAAACTCATCGATTTTCTATGAACTTCTCTATAGACAGAGAAAATGTCCATATCCCTGAAACTGAGTATCAATGTGAAACAAAACCGACTGTTCAGAAAATTTTCAACAAATGAGGTAATATTGTGATACATATTAAGATCTCACAGAAATTACAACATTTATTGCTACGAAGCTTCCAAAGCAAGCTGGTTATGTAGAGCTGCTGGATTTTCTTTTTCATCAATAAATTTTGAAGGAAATTGCAGAATTGATATTAATCTTGCTCCTTAACACTTCTTGCTGTGAGATTTGCTCACAGTCTATTTAAACTTAATTTAATAAATATCCCTTGAAAGTAGGAGTTTAAAATAACTGAAAGGACCTGAGGCCCCTGTACTGAAAGGTGAAGCTATATTTAGAAACACCTTTGCAGAAAGGGAACACCTCAATAAAAGCTCTGTGTGGCCATTTGTGACAGAGGACTATGTGTCTGCCAGTGCAACCTACATTTTTTACGCTAATGGTACAAGTCAGAATAAATATTATCTCTACTCATGTGACAGACCTTTGATAAAGCAGAATTGGCCTGGTTGATTAGGAGTACGTGTCAAACACAGATAATGGGGGAATCCCTTTCAGCAGCAGCACACAACCTCAGCAACCATAATGAGACCAATTTAACGAGCCTTCTGTTTTACAAGAGATATTAATTGCAGTCCTGTCACATAAGGTCCAATTTAAGATATACATAAAAAGGAGGGAAATTGGATTCCATTCCATTTTTGTCAGGATTATAAATTTTCTTGCAGGATCATGAATCTCCCCACTGCTGATCTAAATACTCTGGGTGGCTGACATGCACTGTGCATGTGACAGCGTGCATTGTTATGAAGGAAGGCTGTTGAGCACTAGAAGAATGTCAGGCTTTTAGCTGCATCTTTCTGCCATTACGATTTTTATTCTACCCTAGGAAATGTTTGTTTGCTTTGTAAAAACACAAAAAGAAGGCACCGTTCCTGTGTATCCATCCACAAAGATGCTTCCTCGTCTCTCATCAGTAGGATCATGATTTTATAAATGCTTCTGCAAGTGCTCCATTTGATACTTCTTCCATGAGGCTCACAGACTTACAGTTAAACATACATCCAAGTGTTGTGCTGGAGTACAAATTGTCTTCATGCGAGTAAATCAGAACTCTCAGTTCAGTGTTTCAATAGTTATACCCTCATCCAATTACTCTTCATAAGAGAATATGTATTCTCTTCATACTCTTCATAAGATAACATGTGTATCTCATAAACTTTGCATTGCCAAAGAGTGTGCTCTCCAGCAGGGCTCCTTCAATGGAGACAGAGGGTGGACCTGCCAGATGACAGATGTTCCTGGCTGCCGCTTGGCAGTGAGGATGCTCTCCCAATCTGCATCCTCACCTGGGAGCCAGAGCAGCTGCAGGCTGGTCACCTGTATGTGGCAGATGCTGAACAGTGTGTGTTTCCCTCATTTGCATTGCGGCACAGAACAAGTCTTAGCCACTAAGTTGCACACCTGCTTGTGTTGAGGATTTACCATTAAGACTAATTCTAACAAGTACGTTGTTACTTCAGCAGACATAATGTGCTTCTGAACCAGATCTAGGTTGCCTTTTAACAATGAGTACACTTGCAATGAAACACAGTGGCTGCAAAGATCTGACTACAATATATTCAGTCCTAAATATTCCCAAATTATATCAAAACGGGAAATACTTGGAGAAATTTAGTCCTTATTTCTAATCCAGCCATCAGGTTATAGGAGTTCAATTTGCTTAAATATACTGCAACATCTGCTTTGCAGACAGCCTTGTTGCTGAAGAGCTGAAACTTAAAGCTGTTTGTAATCCTAAACTTCTTGCCTTGGCAATGCCAAGAACTCCAAAAACATAACATGTACAACCTGTGAATGTACCCAGTACCTTGGTTGTCAAAAGGTTAATTTTTTTTCTCCTGACTGAGAAGGAAACAGGTGGGAAAAAAAGGCAAAGATGGGCTAATTTTTTCTACAAAATATGTTAATTGGATTCTTTTATTTCTCAGCGAGGAACAAGGACACTCGTAAAGATAAATAGACTTTTGGGACTATTTAGCACTTATATAGGACTTTTACATGCTACCCTGAGACACTGTCTCAGACAGTTTAGGACATCATAACAACAGAGAGTCTAAAGCTGCTTGCTTATGAGAGTCTCGACAAGACCTGGCTCACCAGCAGAGTGGTTACCTTAAGGGACTTCAGGTGACGTGTCAGGCAGCTTCTAAGGAAACTTTCCTTTCATATGTTGGTGCCTGCAGTAAAGTCTACCATTTTCTGCACAAAGTCTGCATATTCAGGAAACACGGTACTGAAATTCAGCCAGCTATACACACACTGCAGAATTCAAATCATGGTGTAAGTCTGTCAGCCAAGTGAAACAAATCTTTAAAAACACACGCTTTTTAAAGTCTTGTCTTATTCGGACACATCTCTGAGTGACAGTGGTTACTAAATCGCATCATCAAGAAGAGACTCAGGGCCAAATTTGGCCCAAAGATGGAGATATGTACTAACCAGGATTCTCAGAAGTATCTTAGACTCTTAATTCATATTTCAGAAGTCCCAGGTAGGGTTTATCTGCATTTTAGGAACCTCAATAACTTTACAAATCCTGTCCAAAGAGTTTGATTTGCTTCTGAAAAGAGGTGCTTTAAAAATTATAAATATGTAATTCACTGTAATAGAACCTCAGCACGTACTCCCATACCTGTTGGGTCAGAAAGCAAGTCTGACACTGGAAAGAGCAGCTCTTTATGGCTTATATGGAAATTCTGAGATCATTCCAGGTGACCCTGTGCGGAAATAAAAGGACCAAAAGAGTTTTTGTAGGCAGTATTTTCTGATCGTAAGAAAAAAGCCAAATTACACAGATGTGAGAACATTCACTGGCAAAATTATTGAATAATCATTTCATGATTTGGGGTTTTTGTTTTTTAAGATTTTCATTAATGGAAAATAATGATATGGTAAGACAGTAATTTCATACTCTGCACCCTGACAATATCTTTGCTGAGATTATTAATTTCATTTTTCTGAAAAGTACCATGTACATATAAGCTACTTAATCAAATACAGGAAGTTATCTTCTAGCAACCCCCTTCCACATTCTGAACATGAGAGAGCACACTAGAATATTGATAGCCCAATGAAATATTTTAATGCTGGAAAATATATTAGTTTTCCCTAATTACAATGACTCATGAAGGAAGAGAAAAAAGAAAAGAATTAATATATTAACTAATTTTGATTGTCTTTTGTATTGTCACATCGTGAGCAAATAAGAGCTCCACATATGTAAAAGCAGCGTTTGCTTTCTGCTGCAGGCAGATCACATACCCACTGAGCTAGGATGGATCCTTTGCTGTGACCTCTGTGAAAGTTGTCCCCGCTCCCCCGCAGTTAACATGTTCTGAAGATCACCCTTTGTCTCAGTGCCTCTGGTCACTGACTAGCAATGGCCCCTACCACATTGGAATTAATCAAACAAACTGTTCCAAACTTTAATCTTTTATACAGCTTCAGTGCAACAGTGTCATCTCATGAGTCCCATATTTGTACACATTCAGCACAAGAAATATATGTGTGACATATTGCTTTGACTGTGATTAACATCTCAATTGATATTTTCACCTTGTTCCACAATAGCTGCTTCCTAAACCAAGCACCTATGAGTAAATAATAGCAAGGACAGATCTGTCCTCTTCTGCTGAATTCCAATGACCATGATAAAATTTGGGAGTCTCCAGAAAACAAGCTTTCCAGTATACAGGAAAACTAAATTTCCAAACCACCACCAACAGACCTGCCAGACAAACATCTAGAGTTCTTGGGACCAGTATTAAAATGCCACAAAGTGGTGTTCCCCCACTCCATAGCCTGGGCAAGGAATGTGGAGGGGGAAGTTGACAGATGCATCCTAGCATTTTTGTATGGCTTTTCAGGAAATCTGATACACCTCAGGTGAGGACATACCTGGCATCCTCTTGACCCTTCAGTGTGCTCTCTCTGCATGGCACCAGCTCTCTGGGACTCTACAAACAGCAAAAGCTCCCAGGAGCCCCTGATGCTAGGTGCCAACTGCAACAGATGAAAACACCTATTTATTGGTTTATAAACCCCAGCCTTCTAGTAAACATCCCAAATCCACAGTTCAGTCCAAACCCTTCCTTTCTTTATAAAGTTATAGATAATGGCTAGTGTCCAGGTCAGCAGTGCAGAACAGGTCTGAGATACCCTGGGGTATGAGATTTCGCATGAGTTGGGCAGTGTGTGTGAAAAGTGTTGTTAGCTAGTCTCCTCTCGGCTACCGTTAGAGGAAGGTGCTTGTTATTCCTGGGGAAATTAGAATACTTTAAGCTCACAAAGTATTTAAAATGCAACTACTTCAAAAAGACAGGCTACAACTGAAGTTTTCGGCAGTGGCTTTCAGAACCCCACCCTCAGCAAAGCAGAAAGAAAAGAAATGGGAGCTCAGCATTTCTCACAAAATAGGGCTGTGTAAAACCCCCAGGCCAAAAATACTTTTCAGAGATCCTCGGAGAGCATAAAAGATCAAAACTTCAACCTCAGCCCCGTGTATCTGAATTGCTAATAGATGCTCAGTACTGTCTCCATCTGCAGCATCACACAATGAGGATTAGAGGTAATCATGTTTTTAAGGAAAGGGAGTGTTTCCCATTGCCAGAAGCATCCTCAAGACTCAGACTTAAAATTATGATATAGCACTTTCTGTCTTGCCCTGAACAAGGTTTTGCAGCCACCAGTTTATGAACAGCTGCACCAATACTGCGCTGTTCTTATGTGCTAAATAACAATGGGACATTGCAAAACTACAAAGGCTTGTCCTGTCCATTTAACCAGCATGTCACATGGAGACAAAGCATAATGCAGCCCTCTGAAAAGTCCACCCACAAACTTCATTTCACACTATAGAATGAGGCACTTGAGTTCTCTGTCTTCCTCCTCTCTCACAAGTTCACACGACAGCAACTTAAACATTTTGGAGACTGCAGAATACAGCCTTCCAAAAAGTTGCCTGCTTAAAGAAAATGGTAATTCTAAATATTTCAGTCTACCTTGCTACCTCTTTCTTTTTCAAAACTGTTGTATTCAGTTTGGCTTAAAATGTAAATAAAACAATAAAACAGAGCAGTTGCTATTGAAGAGAAAACCCACTTCATGTTATTAAAACCTAACACTACACAATTTGAATCCACAGCACTTTGAAGTGAATACAAAATGTTATTACTAGAAATATAAGGTTTTTCATTACTGAAACATACTGCCTTGAATTGCAAGAAAAAGTTTAAAAAACACTGTGGTATTAATTATCAAACAGGAGATACTGATTTTATCAATTTAAACTACAACAAAACGTCCATTATACTGACACAGTGGTACCAAAAAGGACAGCCCCCTCTCCCCGCAGGCACACACATGCTCACATACAACCACAGGCTCATCTTACCCAAAGTTGGCAAAACAGCCATGCAGCTCCAAAAGGAGGGGCTAAAAGAGCAATAAACCCAAATATTAACTGTCAGAAAAAGACATTCCTCAGCAAAGCTATATTTGGAAGACAGTGTCATGTTGTTACCATGACATATTGATGGGACCACACAACAAAGGTAGTGTCACAGCAAAAAGAAATTAAAAGGAAAGAACAGTGAAGAGGATTTAAAACTATTTTAGGAGTCTATTTTCCTGAAGCAGAGTGGTAGGAATTAGCGAGGACTGTAGTTAAGCAATCAAATATTCCTGGAAGAAGCCCTTTATATAAACAATTGAATCATTCCTTTTTGGTTTTACTCAGATTTTATAAGCTCCAAAATAACCCTTTTAAGCATTTAATTTTTTAATTAATTAATTCTCTGCACTGGGAACTACAACAAACTTGGAACAGCTTTCTTAAATGAGGAAACAGCTGATGGCTCAGGTTTCCAAACACTGCTCATCCCAGCATTTCTGAGAATTCATTGATGAACTTCCCCATACGGCAGAATCTCAGCACTGTAAACTATGGACATTTACATTTGGTTTTAACAGCCCCGAAAAAATGGAAAATATCCTTCTGCAAAGCAAAAGGAGACTGACAGCTTTATGTTAAAATGGCATGCAAACAACTAATCTGATCCTGCAACACACTAAACATTTTCATCTGTCATAAGTTCAAGGTGCTGGCAGAGTGGATCCAAGGGCATAAATTAGGGACTTTTGCCTGAATACACTTCTTCTGGATGTTATGCCAACAGCCATTATACTCAGAAATTTCTTTAGCTAAGCACAATCAGTTCAAAACGTGGTATTTCCAGTAACAGTCTGAAGAAGACTAACATCAGTTAGCAGTCCTGCTAAGTCACCTGTATTGATGCTAAGGGCCCTGTTTTGGTCACTGTGTTTAAGCAGAGGAGGTGTTCCTCTGATTTTACAAGGGTATTTGCCAGGTTAAGGACTGCAAGATTCAACAGGCAATCCAGTCCTCACAATTAGGAGAAAGAACCTATTTAAATGCTGTAGTTAAATGAGGCCTTTAAGACCCAACTCTCTAATATGCAGGTGACCACAAAGAAATTACGGTAACAAACCTTGTGCAGACACAACTGGAGCAGGATGCGGCCCTCAGAGCCAGCTGAAAGTTGCAGAGAGCCAGATGGGAGATCTTCCAGATGACATAATCACACACTGCCCTCAAGAAAAGAAAAAACAAAGAAAATGTTGAGGTTGCCAGGTGCAACTCCAAGCAGGTGCCAGTCTTCCTTAGTTGAAGTCCTTGAACAAAACTGCAGGAATGAAAAACAGTTTACCTAGGTGCTTCTGAAAAATTAAGCTAGAATATTGTGATGGGAGCGGGATAAATGGCATTTCTGTTGCCTTCTTAGGAATTCTTTTGAAAAAAACAATGGTAAAATAAATCAACAAGTTAATCACCACTGACTGACTTTCTTCATGATTACATGACCCACACAATTCAAGAAGGGAAAGTGTTCCTCTGCAAACAGGCTGTTAAGACACTACCTTGCAAATAAGAACTCTCCCTCTTTATTGTAACGGGTCTTGACATTGACATTGTCATGTTAATTTGGCAAATTCAATCCCAGTATTTGCTTGAATTGAAGCAGCAAAAAGATACCAACACCAACCACCAGCTAAGTCCATGAAACACAAAGGCTGCCCTTTTATGGTCAGTTGTACTCCCTGTACTTTTCTTCCTTTTAGCAAAATTAATGGTCAGATCCAGAAAAAGGCAGCCTGGCTAAACTGCAAGTTACCTTCTTGTTTAGAAGAAAAAGAGGAGACTTTGGGGGAAAAAACCCATACTGATTCATTTGACAGATCATGTTTCTCAAAGAAAGCAAGCTAAAATTTTATGAGATCTGAAGTAAATTGGCAGAGCATTTGGCTGTAACAAAGACATCCCTCTAAGCTTGAATTTTCCCATTTTGTGAGTTCAGAGAAATACCTGCCATGCGCTGACCCCATTTGGGAAGGCCTTTGAGGCATGGGAGCACAAGATCTGAGAGCAGCCTGTAAACTGGAGCCAACGTGAATGCAACAACTACGTACTGTATATTGGTGTCTGCAGAAGATGCATGGAAGCAGAGTGAATGGGTACATAGACACATCTGCCAAGCATAGAAGAAACCGAAAAATCTAAAAATCCAATATTGTATTTTGTATGTTTTTTATAAGCACCTTGCTGATGCAGGCCCCAAAGATGGGAAGAGGCTGATTGCTGTGACAATTTGTAAGGAATTTTAGTATCTTTGGAAAACATAGGAGTGGTCCAAAAACCTTGAGGAGGGCTTTCACCTACCTTGTTTTACCTCCATCTTTCTCACATACACCCTCAGTCTCATGCTGGGTTACCGCCAGGTGCTCATGTGTCATGCTTGATTAGATATGTAAGAGAACAGGACTTTGTTCTAAGCACAGGAGGAGTCAGGCCCTAAGTGGCAAGAGGAGGCTGCAGGGAATGAGCATGATATACTCTGTGCTGGCTTGTCTCATCTCACAGGCCACACTTTGTTTCTCAGGTGGAGTCCTGTTATTTATTCCTGCAGCTCAGGGTGCTGGTCTTCCAGCAGGAATATGGCATCAGGCTGCTGCCCTAAGCCATCAGCAATCCCAGACCACTGTTTTCAAGAGCACCATTGCTGCCCCACCTCCCTCCCTGGGGGAAAATATGCCTTTGTTACAAACAGATTGATTATTAAGAGCACGAGAGCTAAACAATATATACATTTACACAAATTACATATTGTGTGAATGCAAAGCTTTGGTTCAATCAAAGGCAGCAGCCTCAGAGGGAACCAGATGGGGACATGAATAGGTTGAAATTAATGACTTGCAGAGATAGAGTAGAATTCAGCATCATGTTGCGCCTCTAAGTTCACAAACAAGTGTCTCAAGAAGATAACAAGTGTTTAAAAGTAAAACCATCAGCAGAACAGCAATGGGTGAGAAATTTGATTGTAACCTGTAAATCAAACATCAAAGGTCTTACAAGGCCACTGATCACAGGTGGACACTTAACAGAAATGTGATACTGTACACCTGATATAAAAAAGCTCTCTTAATCTCTTCTTTCACATGCATAAGTAACTCACACTGAATGTAAATGTCATATCTCTAGTAAACAATTCATTTAAAATCATTTATGTACAGAATAAAATGCATTTTAATGGTATTTTTCTAAAGGTCATACAATGCAAAGAAAAACAGATAAAAAGGAGACAAAAGCTTACCCAAGTGATAATTTGAGTCTCCTACTAATTGCTTATATAACATAATGGTGTGGGTTTTTTTAAAAAAATAAGCATTACATAAGTGAGAAGCGAGAAGTAGCATGGCAGGGTCAGGATCAAGACTCAGGAAACTCGCACTAAGGCAATTCATCCCAATTCTACTCTTGCATAAAACAGCATGAGAGCTTACTCTTGGGTGACATATACAAGTATATCACAGGGAACTATAATATTCTTTTTCCGGTACAAATGTGCTAAACCATAGGCTCTAGGTATGATTTTCATTCCCACCAAACTCTGGGAAAGGCCACATCCTATGTTTTGACTGGGTTATTTCAGGACATAAAATGAGAACTAATTATGAAATTCACTTTCCAAAACCCTCAGTACGCAGAAGTCAGAGGAACTCTGAACTTACAGGACTACCTCTATTCTCTAGCTTGCCAAACAAGCTTGACTTCAAAAGTTTCTATCAGGCCAGGACAAGCTGATGAAAGGTCTTCTCCAGTCTGGTGCATGGCCCTTAGCAGCCTAAGGAGTGACTTGATGATGCCATGTCCCTGTCCAAAATGGTATCAGAGTTGGCGCAGAACAGGGTGTGGCAAAATAACTTTTTCTTCCCACCTTACAAACTGTGAGCAGCTGAACTATTCAAGTTACCCCTTCCAGCCTTCTGAGCAATCCATCAAATGAGGGACTTGCAGATGGAAAAGTTTTTGTCCAGGAAAGAGAACTGGAAAGGACCACTGGGGTCAGAAAGGCAGTTTCCCCCAGGCCAAACTGCTTTTTTCCCTTTTATTGCTATCTGCTGCGACCAATGTGACCTAGGACATTCCTGTGGCATTTTCTAATCTTGTGGCTTTTGATCTCTTGATCTCTGTTTTATAAGACGATGATAGAAAGTTTCATCACTTCGGAAAAGAGGGAGAAGCTGCACAGATGTTTTGTGCACCAGTCAGAACTATGAATCTGTTGGCCTAAAACAACACAAAATTATATATTTTTTTCTTATTATTTTTCAAATATTAGATTGAAGGAAAAAACATACTTTCAAAGAACTGTTTCAGATACTACAGGGAGAGAAAGGCAATACAAGCAAGGAGAAAGGCACTGATCGTGAAAAGCCATTTGAGTAAATTTACTCACAGGATCAGTTCCCGAACTGCATAATTTTGGATCACAAGCATACTACCTGGGGAAGATAGACAGCACTTAAAATATTCTTCCCCAAAAGACTCCTCCACTAAAGCAGTCAAGGGTCTTCATCTGTTGCATAATGCTTAAGCCTCTTCTGAGCTCTTAAAAACTATAGTGATTATTTTCAACAAAAGAATTATATGAAGAACAGAAATTAAAGGCAGAAGCAGGTTCCTAGCTATCTATAAAACTAGGTGTAAAATCCTCTTCTCTGACAAAGAATTCATGTTATAAAATCAGTTTTATTTGGTATGCTATTACACACTTTATGCTACTTAATTTCTCTATTCACTCATCTTCTGGAGAAACAAAAAGGAAATTAAAACCAAAAACTGATAGTAAACATACATTATGAAATATGAAGAATCATGGGACCAACTGACCACTCCAGTGATTATAAAAACTGTAAACTATTTAAAGAGAGCACTTTTCACTGCTCTTCATTATGGTCTGATTACCTCAGCCATTAACATTTGGCTCTTATTATTATGATTGTGAAATACCGTTCACACTAATGGACGAAAGAAAGTTGACGTGGCTATCTTGATTAACTCATCAATAATCATTTGGAATAATTTTTCTTCATTCACTGGATGAATCATTCACATGTCTTTTAATAATGCACATTGTTGTATAGTAAATTAGCATTAAGATTACCCACCTCTGGGAGCTACACTCTACTTCAAAGTTTTGCTCAGAAGAGATTTAAAATGTGAATTTTACTTTAAAAAAAAAAGGAATATCAGAAAATAATGACTTCTTTGCAATTGCTCAGTACACCAAGACATGTATTCCTCAGGTTATGCAACTGAGCTCAACCTTTAAGCACCATATACTTGATATGTAAAAAACACACTCCCCATCTATTGGCATTCTTCTCCAGAGATTAAAGGAAAACTCTTATTCCTCCTAAGGCACATAAAATCTTGAATTAGAAATTTAATAGAATGAAGTCATCTTTACCTAAACAGACAAGAATATAACCAAAGCCCAACAGACCACTTTTGGATCCAACCTTGCAAACCTCCGCTTGTGAGAGGTTTCATATCCAGTGGGACTGCCCACTCCGACTGCACACATGGAATTGTACCCTGAGAGCTCAGCTCTATCTCCATGCCAAAAGCCCTGACAAGTCAGCTTCTTGCTGAGGTTCATCTGTGCAGGATAGGAGGAGGTGAGCCTCTCCTGGCTCTAAGCCATCCATGGTCACCATGGCAGGTAATGACCTACCTCAGGTCTTTGCAGCAGCAATTTGCACATGTTTCAAACAGATAACTCTCTGTGAAAATGCAGTGATACCCACCTCCTCATTGCAAAAGTCAACATTAATAGCCAAGATGATTCTCAAGAGGCTTGGCTTTTCCCATCTCATTGTATTTTGCTCCATGGCTTCTCCCAAAATCACTGCTTACTTCCTTTCTGAAAATGCATTAAGCAGCTGTCTTACCATTTAGCCCTGTACTACCCATTGTAATTAGACCTCCACAGCTCTGAGGAAAGGCAAGCTACTTCTTCCACCTTCCTGACAGTACCCAACACCTGACAGTCACAACCACCATCCCACGTCCCAACAGCAGCCAGGGGCAGATTGTCAGAAAGAAGATAAACCAGGGTAGACGTGTAGAGCTACATCTATGGCACACTTCTTCATTCTGCAGCAATTTGCAGCTTAGGAGCTTCCTAAACCAGGCAGG